TGTGTTTGCTATACTATATATCAGCAAGAAAAGATAAAACCTTGCTCATGATCCCAAGAGGTTTGTGATCTATGCCAGAACACTCTGGAGAGGAGTGAACGCACCCCCCTCTTCATGCTACAGAGTTGTTACAGACCTCCTAGGATGAGACACTATTTCAATCAACAAATGATTATATATGTCTAAGCATAAATGACAATCAACAATATAAACCTGACAAAAATAACTGTCCTCTGTAGCACATTTATGCAAAATTGTTGTTATGCATAAAAAAAAACTTTAATTAAATGCAAATTTAAATGGGGGGGGGGGTGTTTGTTTTTTAATTGATCTGAATCCAGAGATGTCAAGCTCAGAGGTGGAGAGTCTGGGGGCCACTTTTAGAAAAGCTCTCTCCTTTAGTTTTTAGCCTCAAATGATGTACTCCTACGAGGCCCTGATCACATGACCTCAGGGACCTATTTGGGGCATATAGAGGTGAAAGTTCAACGTCAACCTGCAGAGATTTCAACTATTTTTTGCTTAGATGAGCAGACATTGAATTACAGTACACCAAATAAATGCATTTATAATAATCTCCACGCAAATGGAACACAATGTGACACTTAAGTGTTAAAAACAAGTATAAAGTTGAACCATGGATCCCCATTGAGGATTTAGCAAATGTCACAAGGGGTCCAAGAGCTTCTGTTATCTTAATCACAAATACATCAGGGACACACAAAGAAATGAGTTTTTCCTTCATTAGGTTGGAGATAGTTGTCAGCCACCTAACTTTTAATAGATCCTATTGAGGATCTACAGCTTAGAGACATCTTGAGGCGTAAAAAAGAAACATAACTGAATGTGATCTGCATAGCAGTGGTAACAAATGCATTTAAAGATGCTCAAAATGTGCTGAAGAGGGAGCAGGTGTAATACAAACAATAAGGGCTCAAAAACAGAACCTTGTGGCACACCGTTGCTAAGAGAAGAGAACAAGGATCTGTATGAGAAACTGCCACAGAAAAGCGTTGTTCAGGCAGCTATGATGCAAACCACTTCAACATAGATCCCGATGCACCCACCCAGTGGGTTATTACCCTATTATTGTTACCCTATTGTACAAAATGTGATGTTCAACAGTATCAAAAGCAGAGGTAAAGTCCAACATCAGCAAAACAGAACATCCTCCTGCATCACTGTGCATGGACACTGTATAAAGAGCTGTTTCAGAAGAATGAGCGTTACGAAAGTCAGATTTAAATTTATCAAGAATACAGTTTTTATCTAAAACCGCTATAAGCTCCTTATCCACAGCCTTTGCTAAGATCTTAGCAATACATGACAAGTTCGGTCTGTGTCTGCTAAGAAAAGAAGGCTCAAGCTTGGGTTTTTTTTGAAGTGGGCTTTTATCATTTTAAATAAGCAGGGCCTTGACCAGAGAGCAGTGAAGTGTTGATTCTTGTGAGCACACAGAAACCTATAGTACAACAAAACAGCATTTTATCTATGTCATACATTTGCATGCTGATACATTCCAAGTACCATGGGCTCGAGCATCTTTTCCAAGGACAGTGTGACATGCAGACTGAGAGAGCCAGTGATCTAATAAACTGTACCATCACTTAATCATCTTATATTTTAGTACTGGTTGCAGCTTATATAATTCATAGCAATATAATATTTTTTTCTATTTTCTAGAAGAGAAGAATGTAATTATGTTCACTTAGAAAACATCTGACTCACTCTGTAGCAGGACACTCCCTGCTACAAGGACACATCATGCTCTTTTTTCCAGCTCCACACAATGAAGGACAAAATATTGAATATTAAAGTTACTGCAGCAGCAACAGTACTGAGTTTCTATTACATGCACTGTTTGAGTGGTGGATGCTCATATTAAATGCATTCAAAAGTCTTTGTAAGCCAAAGGTCAGGATTCAGGCTGCTGTAAATGCTATGTATTGAAAGGGGATCGCCCTAATATGCACCCTCAGGCACACATCCCTGACTGTGAGCATATTAGCCCCACCTACCTTCTGTTCAAATGTTTGGTTTATGAGTGGCAGCCAATCAGAAGTAAGTCAACATAAAGAAAGGAGGAAAGAAGATCAAACTGCCAACTCTTTGAGCCACGATCGCCCACCATTCTGTGCAGGGTGGACCCCCTGTCCTGACCTCTGAGATGGGCTCCAGTCCCCCACTTACCCTGAACTGCATAAACAGAATATGGATAGATGGATGCACAGCCTTTGTCTTTTGAATTCTAATTGTATTAGTGAGTTCATTTTGAAGTTAAGAACCCACATTAGCATTCACTTCAATTTTATCTAAAAGGCTGCTGCTTTGCATTTAAACTCCTCTACCTTCACTCACTCTACACGTCAACTTTTCCATCTGTTTTCTTCTAATTCACACACATGATTTCTGTCTTGCTTACTGCCTTTCATTCCTCGTGTCTCCAACACATACCTCCACCTCTCCAGCCTCTTTTCCATCTGCTCCTTACTTTCACTACAGATCAGAGTGTCGTGTGCAAAAACCAGAGTCCACAGAATCTCTTACTCGACCTCATCTGTCAGCCTCTCCATCACCACTGCAAACAAGAATGGCTCAGAGTTGATGTCTGATATAATCTTACCCCCACCTTGAACCCATCTATCAGTTCCACAGCACTTCTTCCCACCCTTACTACCATGCAGAGTAGAAGTAAGGACAAAGCTGCAGGTAGCTGAAAATTCTTGAACCAGGCTCTTTGAATTCATCAGTGAATTTTGAACCCTTCATCCTTCTTCTCTCAAAGGCAGATTTAATTTCTTTTTCTTTCATGGCACGGTTAGCTTGATTAGCAGAACAGTCTCTGCACCACCACATCACTATGTGTTGCTGACCTCACTACTGTAGCTTCCTGCCAAGATCAATGCTCTTCAGTCTCGGGTGGAGGGAAATAACCTTGGTGGATCTCTTGGTGTGGTGCTTGTATTGCTCCCCCTTCTCCCGTGATATAAATATGATACTCGCGTGTGTGGTCTGAATGTTTAAGTGGTTCTGTGTCTACACAGACACACACACATCTGATGAAACAGACATGCAACATTTCAGTCAATCCGGCTTTCTACACAGGCAGTATGATGTCTTACTCGCTTTTTACATGTGCTAAACATCCAGGTTTGCCTCTTACACGTTCCTAAAGATAGGAAGACGTCCAACAATTGGGTTGTCAGTAGGAATTGAATTCAGGCTACCCCTCTTTTGTTTCTTGTTAAGCAGCTTTGAAGTTTCCATTTTATCCAGTACTGTCTGCATCTTTGATGATCATGAAAGCAAGCAAATTTCTCAGCATGCTGCATCCTTGATTGGCGGTAGAAGGACATTACAAGCCCATTTCATTACATCTGAAACTCATTAATTCCTCCCCAAAGGAACTCCTAACCTACAACACCATCCACGTGTGAATTGCTTTGCTCCTGACAGTCTTAAAACCAATCCCAGCAACCCCCAGGCACCTACGCCATAATACTTCATGTTCACACAGTAGCAGCTTTATGTAACACTACTCATGTTAGCTCTCTCCTGTTTGAGATGAAAGCTGCGTTTTAAAATGGCCTAGAGGCACTAAAGGTCAATCCCTGTAATAAAAGTGAAACGTTATATGTGCAGAGCTTCACTTCAAAATGAAAAAGTATTGAGGGTTTTTTTCTTTCAGATATTGAGAAATCAGTATTATATTTCATTATATGTTGGTGGTTAATGTGTGGAGTCTCGAGGTGACGGCACAAAATCATTGGGTGGAGTGTCGTGGTTGCTAAGAGCATGTGTTAGATCAGGTGTTTAAGTGCAGCGCTGATGTGTTTTGTCTTGTGTTTTTCGTTATGTGTAGGTCCTGTTAGCATTTGCTAATGGTTTGAACCAGCTGTATTTCTACTATGAAACAAAGGCATCAGAGGAACCCAACAACTGCAAGGGCATCCGCTGTGAGAGGCAGAACAACGCCTTCTCAACGTGAGTACCATTTCCAGCTATATCTGCATGTACTTGAGTACGTGTAGAGATCTGTTAGGAAGTGAAAAAAAGGTTGAAACTGCACCAGTTTGGTATAAATACTGGTTTTTGGTTTTGCAAAACTGTTTTGTTTTTTGTTTTTTCCTTTTAAGTGC